ACCTTCTGATCAGCAAGTCCTAGGCTCTGTGGTTTAACCCACAGCGCCACCCGCGTCCCTATAATAGGTATATAGTTGTGTTATTTAGTATAACACTTATCTTTAACATATTGGGGTCCTTTTAACACAAAAAATATTTTTCCAAAGATAATAGGAGCAGGATTTGGCCAATGAAAGATGGAACCCCAAGCCACACTAGGTTGGAATGGGGGGGAATGAAGAGTTAAAAAGCATCCTTCAAAATCTAGACCAGCTGATGCCCAGAGTTACTTTCAGTGCTATAAGTACCACCATAAGCGCACAGTAAGGCCCTTCTGTTAAACAGCAAGGATTCTTATTGCATTGGAGATGCCTTGACTGTTCAACTGGATTCGTTTGGCCACTTAGGGAACAGAAAAAAGTACGGAGGAGACTTCTAACAAGCAAGGATCTTCTCTCCAAGCCTAAAGGCTGGAGCTGCTGGGCATATCGATGACCATAAGAATGGGACGTACCCAGAATCCTTTTCTGTGCCCTGAACATGCATCTTACAGGCATTCTGTAATTAATTCAGTTTAAGAAACTTCATATACACCAGATATATATACTGCTGTTATGGGCTGAAGGGGAGCTGGGAATTGGTCTAGTCTACTTACTGAAAATATTATAGGAACTTGCCTTTGATGCCAGTTGGGCTAAGTGAAAATGGCAAGGGTTAGTGAGATGAAAAGATGCCTGGCCAGAGATTACTCTTAACAACTGACCACATTCCTTGGGTGTTATGTACTGAAGTTCTCACCCTGGGCCAGCAGGGGGATACTGTAGATAGTTTTCACTCAGGTCCACATATGCAAATAAGGGATTGAAAGTGACATTCAGTGATTGGATAGTTACGGAAAGTGTTACAGTTGCGTTGTAGTGTAGTTCTATATATGCAGGCTGGCTGAACCCTTCAGTTCAGTTCTGTTCTGGCCTGTGAATAAACAAGAGCTGTTTGAAGAATCGCTGTGTCGTCTGATATGTTCACCCACAACTTAACATTGGGGAAGTGCCTTTTTAATAATAAAAGGTACAAATGTGTTACCCAGCTCATTCTAGACATTTCCCTTGACCTAAAACAACAAAACCATTTCCAAATGCATGCAATACAAATGAAGAATTATTTCCTGAAAAACCACCCCAGCAAGCAGGGACCGAGCAATGGGGGCTCACCCCGTCGCGGGGATTCGAACCGCCAACCTTCTGATCGGCAAGTCCTAGGCTCTGCGGTTTAACCCACAGCACCACCCACGTCCCCACACTACCAAGTTTCAAATTCACTGAGCCATTTTTGAACCAAAACTTCTAGAATCTACCAACTACCCCTACCTTATTTTTGTTATAATGCAGTTCAGCTGACGCATCCTTAGCACTAGGTCTGCTGGAGTAGATCAAAGGCATTCATCCCCTTCAGCATCCTGTTCCCCACAGTGCCCAACAACACACCTGTGGGAAGGTTCTGGCTGGTCACCGTAGGAGCAGAACAAAAGAACATAAGAAGAGCCAGCTGGATCAGGCCCATGGCCCATCTAGTCCACATTCTGTTCTCACAGTGGCAACCCAGATGCCTTGGGGAAACCCTTAATCAAGACCCAAGCACAAGAGCGCTGTCCTCTCCTGCAGTTCACAGCAAGTGGTATTCAGAAGTATCATGGGAATTGGGGTTGCTTGTGTGTAACCTCCACCTGCTCCAAACTGCGTGAGGCGGTTGCGTTTTCCCCGGCTGAGCAGCCCCCCTTGGGCACGACTGCTTCAGTCGCTGGCAGCATCCGTCAGTGGGCGTTTCCTAAACTTCCTCCAATATAAAAATTCCTTAACGGACAGCCTCCTTCTCGCCTCTCTGCGCGGCAGGCTTCTGCGCAGAGTGGGCGTGCCTATCGGTGGTCCTCCACTCTCCTCACTGACCTCACTAGAAGAGTCTCAGAGCCTCCCCTCTGAAGAGCTCTCAATCCCTTCTTTCTTCCTGGTGTCACCTTGCCTTTCTTCCCCAGCGGAAGCCCTCTCTACCCCTGTACTGGTTCCCTCTCCGGCATCATTGGGGAGCCTAGCCTCTCCACTCTGCTCCGATGTCAGTTTCCTGACAAGAAGCATAGAGGCAGATCATAGCCGTCATAGCTAGCAGCCATTCATAGCCTTATCAAGCAGGTTTTAGCACCACAGGATGCTACTAGGGCATTCACAAGGAAGGAGATGTGCCATGGAGATCCTGTTCAATTCTTCTCACCCCGAAGCCATTTTTTATTTTTATTTTTTAGCAAAGCCAGTCACAAGGATGCCTTTATGTGGTGCTTTTAGTGCTGTGACATCAGTTCTCTGGTGGGGACATTTCATCATATGTGGTGGGATTGTAAGGTAATTAAAAAAAATTGGGAAATGATATACAACGAATTGAAGAAAATGTTCCATTTAACATTTGTTAACAAACCTGAGGCATTTTTGTTGGGGATTGTAGGGAAAAACCTGCCAACAAAGTTGAAAAACATCTTCATGTATGCGACAATGGCCGCGAGAGTTCTGGTAGCACAAGGATGGAAGACTGAAGAAACCCCAACTAAAGAATCATGGCAAGAAAAATTGATGGACTATGCAGAACTGGAAAAACTGACATATAAGCTACGGGACAAGGATAACTGTGACTTTAAGGATGAATGGGAACCCTTTACAAAGTATCTGAAGACGCAACAAAGCGAACTGGACTCCTTGGCAGGTTTTGAATAAACATTCACAAACTTTTTATTGATAATAATCAGCTAAATAGTTTGAGGATCTATACAACTTTGTAACATGCAGAAAACAGCAGTCTCAGAGAAACCAAAGACTGGAACTGAGGGAAGTCGGGGGGTGGGGTGGGGTGGGTGGGTTCTGTGGGGGGAGGGAGGGGAGGGAGGAAAAATGGGGGGGGGGACAAGGATGATATGTTTTTGGATAATATGTTTTGTTATAATTTTGAATAAAAAAAAAGACATCAGTTCTCTGGAATTATTTTCCTTTACCCTCCATCATGCAATGTATGCAGATAATCTTCTCAATTTTCCAGGACATCCTGGAATTATGAAAGCCATCCCGGCTTCTGATTTGATTCTGGAAGACCCTTATTTCCCCTGCCAGTGCTGCTGCTGCTGCCAAGCTCAGGGAGGAAGATGAGGTGGCGCTTCACCCAAGCAGCAGCCACAAGAGAGCATCCTGTTACCTCTCCATGGCCTCTCCATGGCCAGTGGTATTAGCCTCCTCCTTTGGGCAGCTTGTAGTGGCCGCTGGAGAGTGGGCAAAGAGGAGGAGAAGCTCTCGCTGCCAAGGCCTAACCCCACATAGTGCACCAGCTCTGAGGGGCAGGTAGAGGGCAGGGACACCCTGGGCGGGAAACATAGCTGTCAACTTACTGATTTAAAAAAAGGGACCAGCAGCCTTGAAAATAAGGGACCAGCAGCCAAAATTAGGAATTTTCCGGGCACAGGTATGTTCAACTTCTGAGCCCCTCTGAGCCAAAGGCAGAAAGCCCAGCCAAGAGCCAAACGAAGCCTCAAATGGTGGTTCCCACAGTGCAGCAACCCGGCAAAGGGGACGCAGCAAGGAAAACCACCGTCACCTCTCTGCTGGGAAGCGCTGAGCAAAGGCGAGTCCCCAGGCAACGCGGCTGATTTGATTGGCACAAGGCATGCAAGCTCCACCCCCCCTCGTTCTTAGACTCCTTATTGGGTGAGCAATGCAGCCAAGCAACACAGTTGGAGCCTCCCTCCTCCCTGGCCGGCAGGGAGGGAGGGAGGGAGAGGAGCTGCTTCCTTTGAAACCCGGGAAGTTTAAGGGACATCATCAAGAAGGGACAGCAGCGGGACACGGCGCTGGGATAAGGGAGTTTCCCACCAAATAAGGGACGGTTGACAGCTATGGCGGGAAGAAAGGGGGGAAGGGGATGTAGGCCCTTGCAGGGTCTGATCTTGTGCAAAAGGCCGTGTAAAACGGGAAAATTATCAGGTGAGGAAACATCAGGAAAGCAGAATGAAGTGCTGTCTGAATGCAGCACCAACTAGTCCCAGTAAGCTTAGTGAGTCCACAATAGGCTCTCTTGAGTTCATGTGTCCCAAGGCAACCTAACAGCCCCTTTCCCAGAATGCCGGTGTTGTGGGAGCCCTTGTTGCTGGCCCTTCTAGGATGCCAGACCCTCCAAGTGTCCCTATTTTCCAGGGACAGTCCTGGATTTACAGAAGCCATCCCGGTTTCTGATTTGATCCAGGAATGTTCCGCTTTTCCTTAGGATGTCCCTATTTCCATTGGAGAAATGTTGGAGGGTTTTGCGACCCCCAAACCATGAAGATAAGTAACCATACAATGTTTATAAGACATTTGAAGGCAGCCGTGTATAGTTTTATTAAGCTTTTATATGTTGGAAGCTGCCCAGAGGGGCTGGGGCAACCCAGTTAGATCAGCAGAGGATTATTATTATTAGTAGTAGTAGTTGTAGTTGTAGTAGTAGTAGTAGCAGTATTATGGAATAGGGTTGTCCCTATTTTCATCAGGGAAATGTTGAAGGGAGGGTATGGGATGCTCTGGGGAAACTCCTAGTTGCCAGGCTTCCCTAAATCCTCTTCAAATAGAGTTGGGTGGGCAGTTTAAGCCCCCTTTTTAATCCAAGAGATGGTGGTCCCAAAGGACATTGCTCCTCCTCTATGTCCCACTCCTTTCTGCCTCATTAGCCTTTATTGATTCCTATATAATAAGTGCATGAGTTCCAAGAGCCCTTCCTTAGGCCTTGACGGTAGCTGGTCTGCTCCTAGCTGGGCAGCCCTGGCTCATGGAGCAATGGATTGGGGCCACCTTAAAGGAAGAGGTGCAACAGAAGCCGCTCTGGCAGAGGAAGCACCCTCACACTGCTTTTGCTCGGCAAAGGTTTGCTGACCAATCACAGCCTCTGATCATTTAGAACCTTTCTGTTGCTAGGCGGTCTTCTCAGGCCACAGTCCAACAGACAACGTACAGTTGAGGTAGGACAGGAAGTTTGAACTTTGGTGCGGAAAGAGAAAGGGAGAAGACATCGCAGGATATGAGTAAAAACAGGTTGAGAGGCATTGAGAGGAGGAGGGTGCTGGTGGTGGTAGGGATTGTCACAGGATTACAAAACCAACCCAAACACTGGGGAGGGGGACATGTACAGGGGGAGTAAGGACAAATGCTTAATTGTGCTTAATTGGGGGCTGGATTGGATGAAGGCAGCCCTGTTTAGGGAGGTTTTTAATGTTTGATGTTTTATTGTGTTTTTAATTCTGTTGGGAGCGCACAGGGTGGCTGGGGAAACCCCGCCAGATGGGTGGGGTATAAATAATAAATTATTATTATTATTATTATTATTATTATTATTATTATTACCCTCAGGGCCCCTTTCAGCCCTATCATTATGTGCGGATGGTACTAATTGCCAGTTAGGTACATGGAATGTATAACTGGTAACTTCAATGGCTTAATAATAATAATAATATTTTATATACCACCCAGGGCAGTGTACAACATTAAAAACACATTACAGAACATCAGTGATAAAAACATAATAAAAACCCTAATGGTAGACAGCCTAGCAGTAAAACAATCATAATAACAGTCCACTCCCTGCCCCCCCCCAAAAAAACTTTCATGGGCCATAGATTATTTAACAGCCATTGGCTTGGGTAAAGAGGAATGTTTTTGCCTGGTGCCTAAAGACATGTAGCAATGGGGAGAGCATTCCACAACTGGGGAGCCACCACAGAAAAGGCCCATTCTCTTATTGCCACCCTCCGAACCTCTCTGGAATGGAGGACACAGAGAAGGGGCCTTAGATGACAAGGATATGGGTTGTTTTATACGGGGAGAGGCAATCCTTAAGGTATCCTTAAGGTGTGACAGGCTTGGAACCAAATGAGGTGAAAACGAGTTTCTCTGTGCCTTTCAGAGGTTAGAATAGCTACACCTCCCCCATGAGGAAGACACAGTTCTGTGCCCTTGTGATTGTAACCTTCATCATCCTCGGCTACCAGTTCCACAGATCTGAGATCCAGGTAGATTTAAACAATTTAACTGATAGGTATCCCCCTAATACAGACCTTGACGAGCTTTCTGCTGACCTTCCATTTGAAAATTAAATAAATAAAATGGCAAAGCTTTTGAAAACATTAATGTCTTGACAGAATGGTGTTTAAGGGCAATATTAATTTAGAGTAATTTTTTAAAAAAAGATATTTATTGAGAGTTTTTAAGGTATAACAGAAAATGAAAAATAAACATGAACATACACAACACACACACACACACACAAAACAGTTAAAAACATCCATTAATTTTCGATAACATAACTTTCTTACACTTATTTCCCCGGACCTCCTCATACCTCCCTTCTTTGTATTCCAGTTCAATTTGTTAGTTCAGCAAATCCTTACCGTTAAACTTTAACCCATTTGTAAAACCTCTTTTTTTTCATATCTCTTGAAACATTACAGCTGGAAACCACTTAGTTTCTATCCAACATCCTTCTAACATTCATTAATTTTACAATATTTCTGTAAATAGTATTTAAATTTCTTCCAGTCTTCTTTCACCGAATCTTCTCCCTGGTCTCGGATTCTGCCAGTCATTTCTGCCAGTTCCATGTAGTCAATCACCTTCATCTGTCATTCTTCCAGAGTGGGTAGATCTTGTGTCTTCCAATACTTTGCAATGAGTATTCTTGCTGCTGTTGTAGCATACATAAAAAAAGTTCTGTCCTTCTTTGGCACCAATTGGCCGACAATGCCCAGGAGAAAGGCCTCTGGTTTCTTCAAGAAGGTATATTTAAATACCTTTTTCAGTTCATTATATATCATTTCCCAGAAAGCCTTAATCCTTGGGCATGTCCACCAAAGGTGAAAGAATGTAACTTCACTTTCTTTACATTTCCAGCATTTATTATCGGGCAAATGATAGATTTTTGCAAGCTTGACTGGGGTCATGTACCACCTGTATATCATTTTCATAATATTCTCTCTTAAGGCATTGCATGCCATAAACTTCATACCTGTGGTCCATAACTGTAAATTTGTTCCAGTGTATGTGTGTGTGTGTAAAGATTCCCCGCTGCTTTTCTCTCTGTTGAAGAAAAAAATGAATGTATTGGTTGCCTTGCTGGACCTATTAATGCATTCTCGAATCCAGCATTCATAAAATCATAGAACTGTAGAGCTGGAAGGGACCCTGAGGATCAACTAGTCTAACCACCTGCAACACAGGAATATGCAGCTGCCCCATATGAGGATCAAACCTTGGTGCTATCAGCATGACACTCTAACCAACTGAGGTGCCTCTGGTAACCCCACAAGTTTTGCTAACTAAGTGCTCAGCCTTGCTGTCATTTTAAGTGCAGCCCTTACCACCTAGACTCCTAAAGCTTCACTCTGCATGTGACTGTGCTAAGCATGTGACTTTCATGGGGTGAAGAGTATTCTCCACCAATGAGCCATCCTCTTTCCTTGTGAACACTTGCAGTTGTTTCTTTCTCATTGCATGCTTCAGATAACCAACTCCAGAGGTCTCAAGAGGCAAGTAGAAAACATTACAGTTGCTACAACTCTTGGTAAGGACTCTATAATTTTCATAACCTCATCGGCTGTTAATTCAAGAAATATAGTCATAAATACAAAACATATTGCAAACAGTATTGGCTAATGGAATAAAACAGAGATGGGGGACATTTGTGGCCCACCAGATGTTGTGGGTGTGGGAATGTTAAGGATAGTAGGAAAGGATATATTGAATAAGTATTATCCTTCCTTCACTCACGCTAGTGAAGTGATGTAGCAGAGCTGATTCCCCTCATTATAACAGGAAGTTAGTTTGCAGTTTTGTTTGAATCTCTTAGCTAAGATTATTTCCTGGTTTCCCCTTTAATCCCTCTTAAAAGAATAAAGACACAGGAGTCTTTCTGAGTAAAGTAACAAAAGGTTTACTCACGTTTCTGTTCACGATTTGATCCCTGATAGGCAGGCTTCACATAGTACAGTGGTACCTTGGGTTAAATACTTAATTTGTTCTGGAGGTCCGTTCTTAACCTGAAACTGTTCTTAACCTGAAGCTCCACTTTAGCTAATGGGGGCCTCCTGCTGCCACTGCGCCGCCAGAGCACAATTTCTGTTCTCATCCTGCAGCAAAGTTCTTAGCCTGAAGCAATATTTCTGAGTTAGCGGAGTCTGTAACCTGAAGCGTATGTAACCTGAAGCGGATGTAACCCGAGGTACCACTGTAGTTGCACTAAGAAACTGTGAGTTCATCTCACAGGGAGACTGACCTCGTGTGCTCCTGGCCGAGAGCCAGCGGACAGCAAAAATTACATTAAGATAACAAAATGGCTGCGGGAGAGCAGCATGGCAGCAAGAGAGCAGGAAGTGAGAGAGAAGACAACACGAGATGACTGGACTGAACAAGACTGAGAAAATAGCTGCATGACTCAGCTCTTTTATGGAGTCAGCCAGAGCCATGCCCATCTCCCAGGCCACATGCAGGGGGAGGACGCTCCAGAACAGTGGAACAGGAAGTTACACTGACTGGATGTCCCCCTGCCTGTGCCCACTCTAGGGAAATAAGGAATGTTGCATTTGACTGTACCAGTGGATTGTATCCCACAGTGAGACTCAACTCCCAGCAGCCACAGTAACTGGCACAGCCAGTGTCCAGGGGTGATGGGCATTGTAGTCTAGCCTCACCTTGAGGGTCACAAGCTCCCGACCCCTGTGAAAAATAAGTGTACCCTATTTTTCACTCTTTCACTCGCGGGTGGCGCTGTGGGTAAAAGCCTCAGCGCCTAGGGCTTGCCGATCGAAAGGTCGGCGGTTCGAATCCCCGTGGCGGGGTGCGCTCCCGTTGCTCGGTCCCAGCGCCTGCCAACCTAGCAGTTCGAAAGCACCCCCGGGTGCAAGTAGATAAATAGGGACCGCTTACTGGCGGGAAAGTAAACGACGTTTCCGTGTGCTGCGCTGGTGCTGGCTCGCCAGAGCAGCTTTGTCACGCTGGCCACGTGACCCGGAAGTGTCTCCGGACAGCGCTGGCCCCCGGCCTCTTAAGTGAGATGGGCGCACAACCCTAGAGTCTGTCAAGACAGGCCCGTACGGGCAGGGGTACCTTATTTTTCACTCTATAAGACGCACATTTTCCCTCCTAAAAAGTAAGGGGAAATGTGTGTGCGTCTTACAGAGTGAATGCAGGCTGCCCAGCTATCCCAGAAGCCAGAACAGCAAGAGGAATATAGCTTAGCCACAAGAAGCCTCTTCAGGGCAGGGGGAGCCTGGATGTGAACGGGATCCGTTCCGGAGCCCTGTTCGCATCCTGAGTAAAATGTAAGACGCGGACTATGCGTCTACATGTGCGCAAGTACGTTTTGCGTCTTCCGCGCATGCACACGACGTCATTTTGAGCCTCTGCACATGCGTGAGCAGCGAAACCTGGAAGTAATGCGCTCCGTTACTTCCGGGTCGTGACAGGGTATAACTTGAAAACGCTCAACCTGAAGCACATCTAACCCGAGGTATGACTGTATTCATATTTTAATTGTTATTTGGGTGAATTTGGAAATATTCAGGATCTGTTATGAACCATTCAACAACCAAAGATGGCGGGAACACAATTGGACCAGTGAAAGGTGACACCCCGAGCTGTAATAGGATGGAGTGGACCAAAAAGGATGAAGAAGTAAAAAGCATCATCGCAAAACTGGACCAGATGATGCCCAACGTCACTTTCACAGATATAATGACCACCACAAGTGCCCAGAAGAGTGAGGCCACCTTATTAAACTACAAGGGTTTTTATTGTGTTGGAGACCCCTTGCTGGTTCAACTGGATTTGTACAACCACTTGGGAAAGAGAAAAGAATACGGAGGAGACTTCTTACAAGCGAGGATCATCTCTTCCAGTCTTAATGCTGGAGCTTCTGGGAGCATCACAGACTACAGGAATGGGACATACCTGGTCAATTTCACTTTATTCTGGCCTGGCAATGTTAAAGTATCCCTTATGCTCATCCACCCCAGCGAAGGAGTTTCAGCACTGTGGGCTGCGAGGAAGAAGGGCTACGGCAAAATAGCTTTTGTAGGCATATTTTTAAATGGAACATCAACTGTCTCCAGTGACTGTGGTTATAATATAAGAGTAAAAGAGCGGTGTGAGTATCTTGATGAGCGAGACCAAGAGGCCTTCTACTGTGTGAAGCCAAACAATGTGCCATGTGATG